CCCAGACCTTAAGTAGGAACTAAAGCAGTGTACGCAAACATGACACAACTTACTTCTTCTCCCCTTCTCCTCCAACAATCTTTAAACAAAAGGAATTTGGAAACTGGTCTGATTTGCTTTCATATAAGGAGGTGATTTTCTCACAGTAATCTGCAGTGGAACACACAGAAATGCTAGGGTATGGTATCTGCAGTGTCTAATCTCTAAAATTACGGTACCCATGGCTCTGGGGAACACAACAGAACAAAGCCCAATAATCAATGAACCAAATGAAAAAAAAAAAAACCAAAAAAAAAAAAAAAAAACAACATACCCCAAAACCCAAACCACAAATTACTAGCACTACTAATTTAGGTTTCACAGCATTCTGTGAACTGTATCCATTGCATGTCACAGCAAACCTCCATCAAAGTAACTTGCTTGCAGGATCTCAGGAAAGAATATTCTTACCAACACTTGCATACAGATAGTAGAGTCTGAGGCACAAGGCATTAATTGTGATTGTCTTATTGTTTGTTTCTAATATCAGGTGAACTGTGGAAAAAAACAGTGGGGAAAAATTGCATTTAAGGACCTACAACTCTCTCAGGTGCTGCTGCGTAAGCATGTATCTTATTTCTATCATGACTGCCATATACAGCAAGTGTAGGCTGTTTAGTGAAAACAATACACTCCCAGGATAGCTCAGTAGTTGAATGCAATCAGCTAACACATGAGAAACAGCTTGTTGACTTTAGCTGAAAAGCAGCTGGGACTGCAGGACCGAGAAAAATACTGGTAGTTTGTAAATGCTTTCTCTGATTGATACCCAGTGCTAATCAGTTCAGCCTTTTCCATGGAAACATGCTTTGACTTCTCACTAATCTTGCCTCATACAGTCAAAGCAATGAGAAATGTTCCCTTGCCATCACTAGTTAGTTGGAAAACTCTGCATCTTCATAGCAGATGATGACCTACTCCACCTTACTTGCTTACCATCCTAAATCAGTCATCCCATCTCCTTGGGGAAGACAGTGCATTATGAACATGCCATGTTCATTTCAGTGCTTGCAAAATCCCAAACAGCCTGCTCAACACCACAAATTAGGAAAGGAAATTAGGCCTGCCTTCCTCACTGGCTTTTGAGTGAAAAATGATTTAGTAACACTGTGCTTCGCAGGCTTGTTACAGGTTATGTGAAATATTGTTCCACCACAATTAATACGGCAAAGAACTTTGCTTATTTAACTTCCCATTAAAGAAATAAAAAGTGTCTGTTCGAGATGGTATGAAAAACAAATGTGTCCAGTAATATTTTGCTCAGAAACAAGTAAAACCACCACCATTCTCACCTCACGTTCTCTAAACACACATAACATTTACTGAAAAAGTCTCCTCTACTGAGAAAACTTCAGACTCAAAAATCTATAGTTCAGTTAATATAATCTATTTTATTTCCACAGATCATTGACCAAAAGGTCCTAAAGAAACTATGTTGTTGTGGGAAGAGAAGGTAGATCTTATTGCAGGTAAATGGCTATAAAAATTAGGCTGTTAAAAATGGCTGCTTATTTTTCTGAATGGAACTATATGACCTGTGGAATCCTGGAAGGTTCCATGCAGGGTTCTGTATTCTTTCATGTCTTTAGACATCATCTACAAAAAGCTGGGATCAATGAAGTCACAAAATTTACTAATGATTAGCTACTCATGACAATGCAGCGTACTAAAGGCAGCTACAAAGAGATGAAAAAGAATGTCACAACATAGAAAAATTTAAAACCACTAACAAAGTGAATTTCAAGACTTAATAAATGTCACACACTTAAAACTTTACATACACAGGAGGAGTTGTGAGACATCTAATCATTCTGGAGACAAAACAGTTCAACAGAAACATCAACAAAGAAGCAGCTGCAGGATAAGAAATGATAGGATTTGGTAGAGGTGGAATAGAACAAAACACAGAAATTCATTATACCACATGCAGGAAGCACATGCATACTACGTGCATTTCTGATTGTCTGAACAGTTTAACTCTCTTGTCTTCTGTTCTCCCACTTGCCAAAACCTTCTTCTGTTCTACCAAGTCATGATGACCTAGAAATAACGAAGACTTAGAAACAATCAGCTGCATCGAGCAGTGGACTCCACTCAAAGTACAAATACTAACTAGACTGGGATTCTTTGGAGTGGGAAAAAAAAGTCACAGAGTAAAGCACATGAAAAAGTACTGCGAAAGTACTTCAAAGATCTAAACGATCATAAAGTGGATGGAGAGAATGAACAAGGATCAATTTTTAATCTGTAGCTTTCAACATAACCAGCTAGAGAGTTTTAGGACACATCTTCAATACAAAAAGGTATCACAGATTTTTATACAAGATCACATGAAAAAAAACCCATTTTTTTGTTAGAAGTCCCTAATTCTGAGACTGTTCTGAAAAGATAATACTCAATGTACATATTGTCTTACATGTTTTCTAAGGTATCTCATCCTGACTCCTGCTGAACAACAGTTAGACTTTTGAACTAACCCAAACTATTCTAAAGAAATCTTTCCAAGCCAGGCATTTCTTGCTGTATAGCAAGAATGATAGAACAGGTATGTCCTCAAAATACATTAACAACATTGTTTAGCATGGTCTAACTGGTGCTTCATGGGTCAAATAAAGTCTACAAATGTTTGCCAGCTCAACAGCTTTAACTCACCCAGTCCAGGAAATAATTTTGTTCTCCAAATTCCATCTAATAGACAAACAGGCTCTTCAGGAGCCTGCTGCGGTTAGAAAGGTGGTAGCTGTTGCTTCTGACCACAGAAAAAATTGCTGCTGCAATACACAGGAGAGTTTATGCAGTCCACACATCATAGGGAAAGGCAAAAATGTCCCAAATGTCTTGTTTGGCCTTTGCCATTTCTGAGATGTTGGACCTGATACTTCAATGAAAGAAAGAGATATATTATTGTTGTAAGTATGGAATAGGAAAATTACTATGGAAGTTCTTCCCATTTCTTTGTCCTCCAGTGTCATTACTTCTGCCTTTTCCCAGACTCAGTTTCTTGCTGGTTTTCTTCCTCAGCAAGAGAAATGACAGTGTTCAGAGTTTCTTTCCACTTTCTTTCATTATATTGATACCTGTATATAGTACAGCATACTGGTACCTGTCTTGCTCATGTACACGGATTTCCATACTCAAAACCTGCTTTTGAATATTTTCAAAGAAACACCCCAGAATTCATGAATCCAAGAAAATTTTAGAACACTAAAATTATTTAAATCAATGTGTCTTCTTTTATTTTTTTCATATGTAAGAATATCCTCATAAAGTAAACAGACTTCTCTGCTTAATTATCTAGCCAGTTTTTTTCCATGTGTTTTATCGCATTAAATCTACATCTTTAAATCTTTTGAATCTGAATGGGAAAAAAAAGATAATTGGAAAAAGCCTCCTTCTGCAAAGCTGCCTATTTTAACCAAAAGAATCAAACCTTAACACCATTTTTTAAAATGTAAGACATAATACTTGACACTTGCTAAGAATGGTCATTTTTATCTCACGTTAAGATGTCCGCAGGAAAAATAGAAGCTGGGAGAGAACCTATCCAAGATTTCTGTGACCAGCTCCTCAACTTTTGAAAGTTAAAAGGTCACTATGACACACTCAAGAATACTGTATTTCATGAAACAATTATTTGGGCATGCTGAAATGATGACTTGACAAAAAAAAAAAAAATCACAATTAATGAAGTGCAGCAACCATTCCCCATTCTACTGATTTTTACTTAAGAAGGAGGTATCTTCATTTTCCTAAGGCAAACTGCAACTAAAGATAAACCTTTTGTATAAAGAAAACAAAAAACCCTTCTTGAATTCTTTTTGATGGAAAAATCTGTAAGACAAAGACAGTCAACGAGAATAGTGAAAATTACTGTACAAAAAAAAGGAATGTAAATGTAAATTAGGAAAAGCAAATAGATGTGCAGTTTATTTAGCACCAGAAAATAAATCACTTAATTTTCAACAGCAGCAGGAGCCTTACGAAAAGAAAATATTCTGATTCTTATTTGCTATCTGCTAATACCCCTCAATCTTAATTTGAAATGAACAAAGGCTGTGAAATAGGGCAAAAACTGTACACTTTGTGCAGTAAGCACATGACTATCATTTCTCAAAAGACCATGTGAGGCAACCATCTTTTCCATTTCATGCTGAAATTCAGCTCCATCCCCTTTACCACAACGCACCCTCCTACTATTTCAGTGCTACCTATTAAATACAGCCCTTTAGAAAAATTGAGAGACCAAAATAAAAGCAATCATGTTTATTTGTCTAGTCTGCCTAGAATCGACTACAAGCCTTTCACACCGGTTTTCTGGGGTCCATTTAGACCTAGTGTTCATTGTGGAGAAAGTAACCCCCTATTATAAAACCTTTTGATGGTATCATTGGTATCTGTTTCACCTGTCCTACAACGCGTAGGAGCGACACACCTTTTTATAAAGCTACTATGAGCACACTGCCGGTCTTGCTTCACGTACACCCTGCTGCAGAGCCCCGCTGCCACAGTCGTATCCCTCCATCCATTGTGTTCCGTCCAGTTTCTCTTTCAGTGATTCTGTCTCAGTGCAAAGAGTAACAAGGAGAGACCTCGCCTCGCCCATCCTGCCCACCTGGAGGCCGTGCATAACGGAGCCCAGGGCAGGGAGCGCAGGCTGCGGGAATCGCTCCAGGGCCTGAGGCAATAAACCCCACAGGTAGTCATGATTCCTGCCCCACTGCCTGCTTGGCCCCTCGGAGCGCGGCACTCCCCCTCGGCCCGGGGCTCAGGCTCGGCTCCTCGAGCGAGGACCTCCTCCTGCCAGCCGCGGGCGGCTCCGGGCTTCCCCGGCTTCCAGTCGGGCCGGGCGGCCCCTGCCACCCCCCGTCCTCACCCACACCCCCGTTCTCACCCACCCACCCCACACCGGGGAGCGCTCCCGTTCCGGCTCCGCGGCACCGCCGCCCGGCCTGCGCGCCTACCTGCGAGCCGCGCCCGCGCACAGCGACAGCATGGGGGGCGGCGCGGGGGGCGGCGGCGGCGGAGCGGGAGGAGGAGAAAAGAAGGAGGAGAAAAGACCGGAGGAGGAAGGACGGGCTGCAGAGAAGAGGAGGACGCAGGACGGGAGGAAGAAGAGGCTTTGCTCCCGCGCCCGCTGCCGCCCTCTCGCCGCCCTCCCGCCGCCGCGGGCGCAGCGCTCAGCCCCGCTCGGCCGCGGCCCTGCGCATCTGCTTCCGCCGCCTCCTCACGCCCCCGCGTCCCTCGCAGCCGGAGGCAGTGCGGACGCGCCGCATTTCGCACGGTAAGGGCGATGCCCGTCCCCTCGGCGAGGGGCGGCAAGGCTGGGAGCCGCTTCCGCGCAGCCCCCGGTCCGTGGAGCTCGGGCCCCGGCGGTGCGGCCGCGGTCCGTGCGGTGTCGGGAGGGGCCGCGCCGCGGGTGGTGCAGAGCTGTCCTTGGGCCCGGGAGGTGGGCGTGGGGAGCGAGCGCGGCCCGGCCGGTGCCACCCGCGCTGTCCCTCGTGGGGGTGTGTAGGGGACCCCAGTGACCCCGGCTGTGCATCCCCGGCCGGTGGGCTTCCCGGCTTTCCCCGGCCCCACCACGGGATTTGCCTGGTGTGGGTTTGGCCGCACGCTGGTTTGGTCGCCGGTTGTAGAGAGAAAATGAGGTAGCGAGAGCAGGTGCTGATCTTGCCATTCATTTAATGCTGTATTTTAGACCTGCTTTGATTGGAGAACTGGATAAGGTTGTGTCCTTTTAAATCAAATGGTCGAAGGAAAAATAACTTGAAAAGTTGTGACTGAAATTGTCCTCCAAGTTACATAACTCCCAGATGATGCTGAATGGAAATTAGACTGGGCCAGTAGTGTCACTAATCACAAGTATGCACTGAGGTCACGGTGTTCCATTTCTTTGTCCAAAGCGACAATAAACTGCTCATAGCACCATGTCACACCACAGAACACCTTTTATGAAAGGATAACACCATGTCACACCATAGAACACCTTTTATGAAAGGATAATAGCGTGTCACACCATCGAACACCTTTTATGAAAGGATAATACCATGCCACATCATAGAACACCTTTTATTAAAGGATAATAGCGTAGAACACCTTTTATGAAAGGATAACACTGTGTCACATCATAGCACACCTCTTATTAAAGGATAATAGCAGAGAACACCTTTTAGGAAAGGATAACATAGTGCATATCACACTGTAGAACATCTTTTATTAAAGAATAACACCGTATCAGACCATAGAACATCTTTTATCAAAGGATAACACCTAATGATGTCATAAAACAACTTCTACTGAAGTATTTTTTTCTTTATGTCATTACATTTATCACAGTGGCTTTTTAATTGATTTTTACTTCAGCATGTGTGTCGCTCCTACTTGCAAGTGTATATGTAAAGGAAGTGCAAACCATTAAAAGAAAGCTATAAATGGAAAATAAGTTGCTACGTTATTTTAGCCCTGGTGAACTGGAATGAACTGGAGGGGATACATGCTTTTCTGCTGATAGTTAGACTACATGATTGTAGCAGTTTTCCCTAATCCATGCAAATTCACCACTTTTTTTAACATCTCATGTTATTGGGCTTTCTGATGAAGGATTAGGTTTTATATATTGTGTGCTCTTCTTACTGAGGTTACTAGGAGGTTGAAATACTGTAGGGATTAATTTTCTAAAATAAGAGATTCTGTTGTTTTTAAGACAGAAAACAATTTCAACATGTCATCAGTCAAACGCTTGGTTTATGCAGTCATCCATTTCTTGAGAGAACAGAGTCAGATGGATACTTTCACTCCAGATGAACAAGAAAGCTTGGAAGGTAAGCAACAAATGTGCTTTCAGTTATTTTTATTTATATGTATATATACATACATATATGTGTGTGCATGTATATAATACCTGCACAGATGTTAAACTCCTTTATGTATAATATCCCAGAAAGTAACTGGAATGATGTAAATGCCACCAAATATTATTTGCAAATAAGATCATGATCCTAATGTTTCTGAGATTATTAATTGTAAGACAGCTCTCGTTTATAAGGTATTATAAAGCTACAAATGTGTAGTGGCTTAATTTGAGCAACAAGTACTATAAAACACATCAGTTGCAGAGGTCTTTCCCAATCTGAATAATTCTACGATTCTAAGTTAAGCAGTGCTATAATGCAGACAGTGGTAATGACTTCTGTATATGTACCACAAATTTCTGCTGCTTCTTTCTCTCTTTTAGTTTGCTTTCTTTATTTATTTCATTTCTGTTAGTAGCTCTGGTGGTTACAGGGGAAGTAAAACAATTAGTGTATTGGTTTTGGTTTATGAGAAGAATGGTTTCGTACGTTCAAGGATTTTATGTTGTTTGTGAGGAAAAATGACATCCTAAGAAAATAAGAGAAATGCTTTGCTTTTCTTTTTCACTTGAGTATTGGCTCCAAAGAGTATGTAGTAGTGGATATTTTCAGTATGGTGTAGCTTCTACTATACACTCAAGTGCATCTATCTGTAGATATACTCTCTTTGTATTTCTCTATTGACAGATACTCACTAGGTCTTTGTAACTTTGTAGTATTTGATATTCTCCTTCATACTGCTCTTACTCCTTTTCCCTAATTACTGGAGACTTAATGTCATGTGGTATCAGAATGTGGAATTGAAGGAGACTTAAGTCTTAATGCTGCAGTAAGTTTTTCATAGCATCTTTTAAAAAGGTCTCTCTACTGTTTCAAGTGGTCTTTGGTTGTGTCCGTCAGCCAGAGGAGGAATTTGGAGGGAGAAATCTAGGACCAGCAGTGCAGTTGATCACTGAGTTCTGTGAAATCTTAGGTATGGAGACACTTTGCTGAGATGCAAAGCAAGTCCTGCTTCTCAGAGTCATAAATTAAAAGATAAACCTGGAGTGTGCTTCATTCTATTATCTACTGGCTGTCCAGTGTAGTTGTTCACCAAAATAAACAAGAAAGAAAGCTTTGTGTCGTTATGTTCAAAGGTTAGTCCCAAAGGAATAAAAGCCGCAAGATTTGGTTTTCTGTCAGAATCTGGAGCATTTTGTACATTTGAAAAGCATTAGCCATCAACAAATTTAACCTGTGTCAGATTATGATGAAATAAAACAATGTTTTTGGAAGTCATATATAATAGAGATGAAGATATTTACTTTTGCTTTTATAATGAAACTGGTAAACATTGGGTTATGGTTGAAAATTTACCTGATAACATGTCTTAGAGCAGCCTTAGGCAATGTGTTTATCAAAGAATCAATTTTAAGATTCACTTTTCTAAGTAAAAGATATTACAAAACCTCGGTTGTGCTTAAAAGCCAATGCAAAATTTACCATTTTAATATAGATCTGAAATCCTATTTTTAGGTTTGTGCTCTGCCACAAGCATGGTACCATATGCTATGTGTTAGAGGAGAAGAGGCAGGGATTCTGCCTCCTAAATAGACTAATTTTAGTTGTGCAAGATATCTTTAGTGCATGTACAGTAGCAATAGACAAATCTAACTCACTGAAGTATTTAATGTTAGGAGGAGACATAAGGGATGAAAAGAATTGACTGATAGTTTTTGTTGGTACCTTATGTACCTACTTGGTGTCTGTGAAAAGACAAAACACTGTATGATTAAGTGGCTGTTCCAATAAGCAATTCAGACAGTTCCCATTTTCCATAAAACAACAAAAAAAGAGATAGAACATCGCAAAAAAAAAAAATTTAGCCTTTATAAAATACAAGTCTAGGGTGTATTCATACTCAATGATAACCTGTATACTGCATGTTTGAATTATATAGAAATGTCAGTGAGAGTGTGAATTTCCTTTAGGAGTTTTGTACTTGCTTGATGAATAAAAATACCTTATTTTGAGAAAGCAGAGTAATTGGAAGGTAGACCAGAGAAATATATTCCCTCAGCATCTAGCGCAGTGATACAGATCCCTGGTGCTTAGTGCTCAACTCTTTTGTATGAACTAGAAACTTCCCTTCTTCCAAGTTATATTTTAGACTGTGTTTAAATTGCAGTTATTTCTCTTTCCTGTTTACAGGGTGGGGATTTTTTTCTCTCTGTCACTCTCTCCTTCTTTCTTCTTTTCTATAGCACCTATTTCTGTGGGATTAAAACTAAAACTCTCTACAACATACCCAAGGCTGTGATTTTCTTGTTACTTCTATGATTGATATACCACAACTATATTCTGTAATGCAGTGTTTCCAAAACAGGAAGGCAGTGGATGAATGTAATACTTGACACGGGTAAGATTATGTGTAAGATGAAGCAAGATGACAGCAAGTACTAAGGAGGCCTCAGCAGCCCAATTAATGCTGATTATTCAGCCTGTGTGTTGGCTGTGGTGCCTTTGTGTTGCTTGGTGATGCAGCACAAGTCCTGGAGCTTTGTGGCACTGGGTTCCAGCATAGCCCATTGCTGGCATTGTCAGATAATGGGTGTTTGTGTGAGTCCCAGCTGTTCAGCTGGAAAGTGGTTTGCAAGGTGGTCACTTCAAGCTTCAGCCACTACCTAGGTGGATGATGGTAGAGCTAACTTGGGAGAACAGATAACTTTGGCCTTTGATATCAGACCTAGGAAAAATCTTAGGTGAACAGCTCACATGGTGCATCAAGTCTTTCCCTGATAATACTGACAGTATTTGACAGTACCTCACTTGGATAAATGGGATAGCAAGGTGCTGGCAGTCTGGCCTCCTGAGAAACTTTTCAGGCAAAATCCAAGTTTCCACTCCTTTACTGGAGTTGTGCTTTTGTGTAGTGTTAAAACAGGGTAGTTACTGATCTTGTCACAACTTACTATATTTTCTGATTTTAAAATGTTTCTGTTTAGCAATGTTTCTTTCTATGTGGGTTTCTTTTGTTGGCTTGCATTTAGCCAGTGGTTATTCTAACCAATTGAGTCATCCTACAAGAGGTCCTAATTTTATCTGTATATATCACATAAACTTTGTGATAGATAGAAGGATTATAAATTCCATTTTCCACTTAAAGTCAAAATAGGGGAATTCACTGCACCAACTAGTTATTTGATGAAAACCCTGAGTAGTAATAATACTGTAGTCAGAAGAGTTTTGCTTACACATAATGTG